ATTTCGAACATGAAATTCAAGATTGAAGTTTCGTATGAACTTTGAATATTTAGTATAATAACATTTTTATGAGCAAAATCGTTTCAACCTATATCTTTTCGAATTTCTTCAGGTTTCATTTCAATGGCTCGAAACCCATGCATTCTCAAATAAGGTATAAATGATAATGTATGAGGATAGAACTATAAATTCTATGTTCAATTTCACACGAAAACCACGATACAAGCCAAAGGCTATGTACCGACGTTGACCCAGACCCTTGCCTTCCATCTATCCAGCTTATCTCAATCTATCGGATTTTCAGTGAGACTGCAAGAACGATGGTTCCTTAATTTAATAGGCTCTCGTAGCCATACTACGTGTAGATATACTTTCAAAGTTTATAAAACGGAAAATATGTATAATACTAAAACGTTTATGTTTATATTGCAAATGTTATAAATGAATTGCGGATATTTATGTATCGATGAGAAAGATGAATTTTAAACGAAATTCTGTGCCTCACCATTAAACAATTAACAGATTAATTGGCTCGTTAACACCGCAGGATATAGGATTTTCGATACGGATCCGATGCAACAGTTAACCTGCGTCCAATATTGAATTATCCTCTGTAAAATATTGTTTCGTGGTTTAGGCAATTTACGAAATCAATTACAAAATGTAGCAGAAAAGTGTTTTAAAAATAATGTGCCTTTTTCCGTTATACTCACGACACGATCACGTGGGAATTCCCAGCTTAAGAACAATTAACGATCGAGCTCTTTTCATACTCTCCTACCAAAAAAACATAAAAGCTTCGCTTCCGCAAATGAACGCTAATGGCTCCTAAGCGGTGAGAAGTTCAGCGAACACGTAGGTGGCCACAGTTAGAAACCGCAGGAACTCGACGCGAGTGCCGGAAGGTGATTGTCCTTGCCCTTGGTCGTGCTCGCACGCACGACGGTAATCGAGAGCATGGAAGCTTGCGTGACCAGTCGGATTTAAGAAAAGCTCGACCTGGTGCGCCCCTGAACTCCGAACCGAGAAATTTTAAGCATCTCCGACCGAGTAACGCAATAGGCAACAGAGGTACGCACGCACACATCTTCGTTTGCCGTGATCGTAATAGATTTAACCTGGGCTAAAAGCTTTGCGGCAGACTCGAGCTTTGCGGCGACCTGTTCACGATACTTGACCCACCATTATTAATTCCATCCAGGAAACCCTGTTGTACGGTATATACACATTCTTGGGGATTTAACGCGATTCCCAATATTCGGTAAATTATCTATCCGGGAACTGGTACGTTCTCATTAAGCTGCAGGTTTGTAAACCTCGAGGAATTTTGACAAATGGAGAGGCCATAATGAAAACGGTTTCCGTGCATCGAATGACATAAATGATTAATTAAAGCTCGCTTCTGTAGAATATCGATTCGTGTTTCAGAAACGAGAGCAGTCTCTGTACTGGGAATCAATTCGGACATACAAGATTAAATATTTGAAGTTATTTTCTGTGATATTATTGTTACCTTTGAAATGCACCTTTAAATGCTTTTATTTTTATACAAGTCCATTAAGCTTTCAAGGGATCATGATTATTCGGATGAATTAAATCACATGAAACGTCCGTCGCATTATTCGCATTCTGTGTTTATCAAAATTCACATCCGAATACGACAGATTTCTATTTAAAATATTTTGCGTCCATAAATAATTCGCTCGAATCTGAATGTCGATGATGCTCCGACGGAACAAGTCTCCTCTTGTCTGGCTATCCAGGTTTCCATCTCTTTGAGTGAAGTTCAATATTTAATCACGACTGGTGAAAGTGTAGATTGCCAATTTCGTCAAGCGTCCGTACCGGCATCCCGGCAAAAATAAAATCCGAGCGTCTCGTTTTAATTCCATCGTTTCCGCATTTCGATCCAATCCGTCCATTCCCTCTTATGTACTTCCAAAACTGTTCTGGTGGATACAACACAGTGCGAAGTAAGACTCGATACTTATTTTATCGCCGCTAGTGCCGCTTATTTTATTCAGACTGCGTACGGCTCGCTTCAAGAATTTCTAGCGTGCACTTCTTTCTTTCCGTCAGCCTTTTATCTTCTTTCGCCTCTTCTAAAGCCGCTGATAAAGGAGTTCATTACTGTAACATTTTTTCGCCTTTCTTCCCACGCTCCTAGATTAACAATCCCGGGTCGAAAATCAAGCTTTTTGTTCTTATCAATTTATTGCACGTAAAGTAACTAATTAACACATTAGTCGGAAATATACTGGGTCGATAGAATTGACCTTTCGTGTTAGGAATATTTTATCTTTAGAAGAATTCTTCGTAGTAAATCTTACTGAGAAATTTATGAGTGTAGAATTTTTTTAATTATTCTTTATTACATATGTTATATGTACATAGTAATCAGTCCGAAAAATCTTATTTCCGGTTGCTTAATGTCATGTTTAAGTGAATGAAAGACTGCTAAATACGGAATTTACTACCAATGGCCAAACCATATTAGGGTCACGACTTATCAGTTGTCCAAAACAAAAACAAATCTCTGGAGATATTTGAGCATAGAATTATAGAGGACGTCAATGCCTGCAATTTCTGTATAATAATTTTTTGCTAGCATCAATAATTAATGAATAAATAAAATAGTTTATTGCAAAAATGTTTTCAACGTCAAGTGAAAAATGTTTCAGACAGAAGTTATAACTCCAGTTACCAGATTGCCAAGAAAGGCAACTTCCTTCTAACTGCACTCGTTAAGAAATAATTAGCAATAAACGTTAATTGATCAGTCCTGAATTATTCGAGATAGAAGAAAATTGTTATTGGTTGTGCGATTCTCTCATGCAGAAGAGTCAATTATTAGTATACTATTTGATAGAAACCTACGTTGTTTGAACCTATTGTTCTTTCTTAGACTGTGGCGTAATTATTCAGGTAGAATAAATCAAGTATTTTAATTCCTAATTTACTTTCTATTGTAATATGTAGTGCGCGAGTTGTTTTCAAATAATTGACGAAGTTAATGGTAGTTATTGTTCCAACATAGTTTTATCGTAGCCATTATACCCGAAATTCAAGTTTTCATTAAAGTTTGTGTAGCAGTATCATGCACTAAATTATATCACATACTCCTAAACAACAATTATAATACTAATTGCGTTAAAGCTCCCGTTTCCCTTAAATTAAGGCTCATCTTAATCAGAATAATTTCGAATAATGAACATTCGTTCTTCTTACGGTTTTCATTAACAAAATTACCGCGTAGCATTATTCTGCTTATATTCTAAACGAAAATAAAGAGAAGAAATTTAGAAAATCCATACCGGCAAGAAATTCCGTCCAGTGAAATTCGTTCAATGAGAAAAAAGTGAGCCAAGCGTGCATCTAACGTAGTGCCATTCGTGCCACGCTAAAATGCTCTCTGTTCTACTCGCAACTTGGAGTGTCTCTTCCATTTTTCTCGACAGCTGCCACAGTCACGAGTGGACAATAATCAACGAGCCGCATCTCTTCTGTTCATTCTGTTAGCTACCCTTTCTTTTGCGTGTGTCTTAAGAATGAAACCATCGCTACCGAAGCGTTAATTTGATATCGGTTCACTTTTCTGGCTCGGGTACGCGCGGTAATTGAGTTTTTTCCCAGCCACGTATATATTCATCGAGCCCTCTGGCCGATCCGACCGACGATTTACGTTGCCGGCTGCCACCGTTTCTTGGCTCCCAGCCGTTCGTTTCGCGCTCCAATCGAAGATGAACAAATCATCCGCGAATGGAACCAGAGAAATATGTAGTCTGGTCGAATATCGACAAAAAGGTGTAACAAATCTAAGGGAGGTCAAGCTTTAAATTAAAAATGAATGGATACGAGATATAAGTATTATGTGAAAACGTTTTTCGAAGACGGCAACACTAATAGAACTTAACTAATAAACTATTTTTATCTGTCATAATTATTTTACTTGAATATTGTTTAAAACAACTTATGACGATTAAGTACATTAGTTTATCCAACGAGGCGTCTAATTAATTCGGGGTAATACTCGCTTAATAGCATTGAAATTTCGAGCTCACCCGAACGAACGATTTAATTGCAGTTAATTACGTGCTGCATCGAGTAAACTTTGGATTCTCTGTTAAAAAGAAGAAAGAAAGCGGGGAAAAAATAAAACAGAAAGTTCCAGTTTGCAGTTTCATTACTTTCAATATTTAATACGTGTTCTACGAGGCAGTCGTATAGTTTCGTGACCTAAGGGACGGACTCTGTTACAGTTTTCAAATATTCATCTTTGTTATCCAGGCCAGACAAAATAAACATGGAATTTCAAAGAAGCTCGTCATGTCGAGGATATAATTGGTGTCCCTGGCATCGGAAACTTTTAGAACTTAAACAAATCTATAATTGAGGCCGAACTGTTCTCAATGAGATATTACAATTACCATTTGTAAATAATTTTTGACCGACGTCTTGTTCCATCAACATTTAAATATAACGATCGATCAGCGAGATTTGTATTTTACAAAAAGTGCAGTAAAAAGTCACGTTACATTTAAATACCCCCATTAAAGTATCAGAGTGGAGAAATAACGGTGTAGTAATTCATTTGGAGTGCTCGGCATACACTGTTAGACTCACCTCTCTCGCCCCCTTTTTCGAGCGTTTCCTCTCGAGCTTCGGTGTCTGAGGTAGCAGGGTGTAATCGCCGCTCGTGCCGCCGCCACTACGCTGCCTCGTCACCGGCTGGTGCGACAAGAGGGGTGCCCGCGATGGTGGCGAGAACTGAACACCCTGCGGCAGTAACGAATACCCGAGGTTCTGGCCCTGGACGAACGGCGAATTCGCTGGGAAATGATTCGCCACCACCGGCGCCCAGTACTGGTGCGAATACCGGGACGGCGAACTCCCTGGGAACATTAGACGTACCGACGCTCGTCAAATCGTACTATACGTCATGCGTCAGTCCCGTAGTAATAATTGTTATTCGATATCGATCGATGCTACGATCGATCGATAATCGAGTCGAAGTAGGTGATCGAGCAGGTTTATTCCGCGGATACTGTTTCTACTACCAACTGTGTATAATGGCAGTTTTACTTCAGGAAATAGAAGTTGAGTTAAGCTCCGGCTGGGGTGGAAGGTAAAAGGAATCGGAAATTTCTTTGAGCAAGTTTTATCCTCCCGTTCAATTTACTTCGATAGGCTCGCGGTTTATGCTTGTCACAAGTCCCGATGCCTAGCAATTGTTTTTAAATCTGAGGAACTTACTACTCCCTGTATAAAACTGATTCTATTCTCCAAATGAGGCATTACTCCTCTTCGGTACGTTACGAAAGTCAACTCTTAGCATGAGAAATCAAGCTTTCTTTCTATCGAAATTGCGAACTATGCATTCTGCTTGAACGACGGTGAGGACTAATAGAATAAGTCTCAATTTCCTCCCGCATCTTTTAATGTAAAACCTTCTACCTATTAATTAACAAACTCTCAGACGTCGAATTCCCCGGTTTAATTAAGTCGCTAGGAACGGGTATGGAACTTACTGTCGCTACGAGGGTTGCTGTGCCTCCTTTGTGCCTTCCACGTCGTCGATCGTACTCTTCCGGCAGTTTCAGTGTTTACGGCGTCGACGCTGAGACTTCTCGCGACGCCCCTGTAAGGATTCGACGAGGATGTCTCACTGGCCGCGGCGACACCAGCGAGCTGCTCGTTAAGGGCGTACAACTTGGACGTAATGTCCTTACCGATGAGGGTGTTGAGGACGACCTTGAGCAGCGGCCTGTGCCTGAGCACCCTGAGCAACTTCAGCCTGGTCCAGCAGATGTACGTGCTCGACTCCTCCGCGCGTATCGTCACTTGGAAGACGTCGTCGATGTTCTCGTGCATGGCCTCCCATTCCGGCGAGTCCACGAACTGATAAGCTTTGATGTAATGCAGGTGCGTCCCGTCGCAAGTCACCCTCAATCTGAATTCGAATCACTTATTGCTAAACTGCGGATTTTATACATTTCTATAAATGCATGCAGTGTGATATCATTATTTTTGGAAGTTAACAGAGATTTACTCCATTTTTAAAATCTGGGGTCGAAATTTTTTTTTGAAAATTTTAGGCTCCAAGAAACAAACTCAAAGATATTTGCATGAGTATGAATAATTCTATTCATAGAGCAAAAAAAAAACAGGTCCAAAATGACTTTAGTAGGATTTATATTTTTACATAATATTTATACACATTTTACTGATCCAAAAATGGAATAAAATATCTCTTTCTATTAATAAGGTTTATACTAATGCGATGGATTTTTGAATATTTCATCATATTGAAGTGCGAGGCTGATACTTCATATTAAAATTGTGTGCCTCTCATTTAAATGGTTATCTCTTAATAAAGATTTGTACTGCGATTTTATGTATTTTGTTTTCGAAAATATCGTTCGATATTCACAGGTACACTCAAATGCAGATTATTCACAAATCATCAACTCGACAACCAGTCGTCGTTTTTATTAAAATTTATTTGTAATTTTATCATGT